ATCTACATTAGCGACAGCTCCATGCTAATGCAGGAAACCGTAATTAGTTTTGAGGAGGTTATGCAAACGAAATTAAAAGTAAAACTTTGCATTTCTCGATTTTCTACGCAATCTTTGTATATGACAGTTAAGACTTGCTTTTCAAGCAAAAGATTTCTTCTCTAACTCTTGATTCGTCGTAGATTTCGTAGTCTTCGTAGGTTACCTTAAATGTTTTGCTTTTGGGTACATGATAGAAAACGCATCTTGTCGGCAATCATGCTAGAGTTTTAATGATGCAAAAACCGTGAATCTATTTTTTCTCTTAGATTGAGTGATTCTGCCCAGGTGATCACAAAAAATGACCTCCAGCAGATACTGATCTTCTTGGATACCAAACAAAACTTAACGATAAAAATATCATGAGAAACGGCTACTTTCCCTGTGAAATCAGTTTCCGCTTTAAGTCATGCGTCTGGTAGTAGGACTTTAATTGTTCTTACAACAGAGTTTACTCGGTGAGATGCAAATTGTTACTTTTTTATTTATTCTCGCTGTTATGCTCCAGCTTTTTAGGAAGAACCCAAACAAAAAGAAAGAAGAAGGAAAGAATTATAAAAAAGGAGGCATAGAGATCTGACTCAGGTATTTCTTTATTGGATATCATTACTTTTGTCTGTGATGTTTTCCGTACTCCGCGTCCATGGTAACTTACATTCTTGCAAAGATTTGCAAAGAGACATTATACCTTGGACAAATTTGCGGAATAACACCAGCCGTGAGTGTTCCAGAATATGTTTTCGAGATGTGGTAAATCTATTATTATCGAAATTACCTATGAATGCATGCATGCGTGACTTGTGGGTGCGACAAGGACTGATTCACGGTATGTTGTTGCGTAGTCTTGGATCATTTCTACGTTGCGATGATACTTTTGGTAGACTATGGCTCTGGTGAATGAAATGAAGGAAAACTTAACTTATCATCCGAGCCTTAAATTACACCTTTTATAGCTACTTTACTTAATTCTGTCATTGTCACTAAAGCTGGAGTTTTATACCCTTATGATCATACTGTACATTGACAGCTTGTTTATTATGTGATCATCACGTGCAAACAGTGATATTTTGAGATTGAATTAGCCTCATTCGACCATTATGGAGCACTTTAAAGAGGTAAAAATAAAAAGTTTTGTTTCTCTGATTCGATCGGACTAATGGACGTATTTTTTTTCTGAAAACGGGTTCATATACAGAAGAAATTTTTCTTCGTTGCTGCTTTTATTTTGGCCGTGCCTGTCTCGATCTATCGTCAACTGGCCACGCTCCGAGTCTCTAAGTTTGTCATCAATTTCAAGTTTATTGAGTAGTTCATAAAAACTCTTACAGTTCATTTGAAACAAAGCTGGAAGAAAAATTTGAGAGGTATTTGCGTTTTGATCGTGAACACAACTGGATTGAAGTTTTCGTCTTCAACTTCCCCGCAAAGTTGTTTGTTTTGAGATTAACACATATGTAAAACTTTTTAAACTTTGTTTTCAGCAAGTGAAATCGTTTATGTGTTACTGCTATGGTTAAACAAATTCCTGTCTTAGCCACAGGACTCTAGTCATTTGAGTCTTTTTTATTAGTACTGGATGTCTTTGAATCGTGTTGCAAGAAGAAAAAGGTTTGGAAAGTTTGTAAGTCAGTCAGCCGTGAATGGCTTTGCGGTTATTGAACTGACTTTTGCGACTGATACGTGATAAAGTCAGGAAGCTTTTGCTTACATACTGATTGCATGCTTCTACAAGCTCTTTTTTACTTTGACAGTGGCGACCAAATTTTCTTAACGGCTCTCCTCAGTGTGATCTACATTAGCGACAGCACCATGCCAATGCAGGAAATCGTAATTAGTTTTGAGGAGGTTACGCAAACGAAACTAAAAGTAAAACTGCAATTCTCAATCTTCTACGCAATCTTTAAATATTGTAAGAGACTTGCTTTTCAAGCAAAGGTTTTCTTCTCTAACTCTTGATTTATCGCGAGGTTTCGTAGTCTTCGAAACCTACTTTTAATGTTTTACTTTTAAGTACATAACAAACTACGCATTTCGTGGGTAATCAGCCGCATTATTTTTAAAAAGCATTGTCGCATAGTTTTAAAATAATGTCGCGCCAATTCATCCTAAAAGTGAAGGGTACAACTAAGTAAATTATGAGAGAGATGAGAAAATAATGGATTGCAGACGAACTACTTCAAGGATTCATCTTTGAGCTTATTAGTATGCAAGCTACTGTGAAGTTATTTTTCTGTGGTTCTGCCTAGATGATCATGAAGAATGACTTGCAGCCGATAATAATCATCTAGAATACCAAACAAAATTTTAAGGATAAAAACACCTTATTTGAAAAACAGGACCCTTTCGTGAGAAACGGCTACTTTTTCTGTGAAATCAGTTTTGCTTCAAGTCATGCGTTTAATAGTAGGACTTTGATCATTTCTACGTTGCGATGATACTTTGGTAGACTCTGGCTCTCGTAAATGAAAAAGTGAGAAAGCTTAACTTATTATCCCAGCCTTAAATTGTACCTTCTATGACTGTTTTACGTCGTTCTGTAATCGTTCGACTTAAAACTGGAGTTTCATTCCCTTATGATCATACTGTGCATTTAATTTAAGCTTGTTTATTGTACGATCATCAATTGCAACCAGAGATTAATTGGGAGCGAATAAACCTCATACGACTATTATAGAGCACTTCCGAGGGTTAAAAGTAAATTTTTTTTCTCTGATTCGATCGGACTAATGAGCGTATGTTTGTTCTGATAATGTGTTGACGTACAGAACAAAATTTCCTCGTGGCTGCTATTAATTTGATAGTTCCTGTCTTCATCTGTCACCAACTGGCCTCGCTCTGAGTATTTTTGGTTTGTTATCACTTTCAGTTCATTTGACACAAAGCTGGAAGAAAAATTTGAGAGGTATTTGCGTTTTGATCGTGAATTCAACTGGATTGAATTTTTTGTATTCAACTTTCCTGCAAAGTTGTTTCTTTTTACATTATTACATCAGTAAAAGTTTAACTCGTTTTTAGCAAGTGAAATCGTTTATGTGTTAAATATACGGTCAAACAAAATTCCTTTCTTAGCTATAGGTATCTAATCATTTGACTCTTTGTTATTGTTATTGGATGTCTCTGAATCATTTCGCAACAGGTAAAAGTTTTGGAAAGTTTGTAAGTCAGTCAGCCATGAATGGCTTTGTGATTGTGATATTTAATTAGCAGACTTTCGTGACTGATATTTGATCAAATCAGCAAGCTTTTGCTTACATACTGATTGCATGCTTCAAAATATTTCTGCTTTACTCTACAGTGGCGAGGAAATTTTTTCAACAGCCTTCCTGTTATCCACATTAGCGACAGCACCTTGCTAATGCAGGAAACCGTAATTAGCTTTGAGGAGGTTATGCAAACGAAACTGAAAGTAAAACTTTGCATTTTTCAATCTTTAAGCAATCCTTGTATATTGCAAAAGAGAGTTGTTTTTCAAGCAAAGTCTTCTTTTCTAACTGTTGATTTATCGTTACACTTCGTAGTTTTTTTTCAGTTACCTTAAATGTTTTGCTTTTGGATACATAACAATCAACGTATTTTGTTGACAATCAGCCGAATTATATTAAGAAAGCATTGTCGCAAAGATTTTTATAAATGTCGCGCCAACTCATCCTTATTAGAGATGGAAAAATATAAGAGAGACAATAATGAACTAAAATGTAGAAATGGATTGCAGATGAACCACTTCAAGGATTTATCTTTGAGTTCAGAATGTGCAAACTGGCGGGTGTGAAGTTATCTTGCTGTGGTTCTGCTCAGATGATTATGAAAAGTGACTTTCAGCAGATAATAATCTTCAAGAACACCAAACAAAATTTAACGATAAAAACTTCCCTGTGGAATCAGTTTTCGCTTTAAGTCATGCATTTGGTAGCAGAACTTTAATTTTACATACAGCAGAGTTACTCGGTAAGATGCAAATCGTCATTGTTTTATTTATTCTCACTGTTATGCACCGACCGTTGAACTATCACGCGATAGAAATCTCGAGCTTCTACTCTAACTGTTTCAAAGAGAGTTACATCTGAGAGTCAAAAAAAGCATTTGGGAGAAATACAAACGAAAAAAACGAAGAAAGACGAATTATAAAGGAGACATAGAGATCTGACTCGGGTATTTCATCGTTCGACACAATTACGGTTGTCTGTGATGTACGTACATTTTCTTCGCTCCGCGTTCAAGGTAGCTTACACCTTTGCGAAGATTTGCAAGAGACATAATACCTTGGACAAATTTGCGGAAAAACATCAGCCGTGAATGTTCCCGAAAATGTTTCCGAGATGTTGTGAATCTATTATTTTGAAAATTACTTTTAAATGTATGCATGCGTGGCTTGTGGGTGCGACACGAACTGAGTCACGGTATGTTGTTGCGTAGTCTTGGATCATTTCTACGTTGCGATGATACTTTGGTAGACTCTGGCTCTGGTAAATGAAAAAGTGAGAAAGCTGAACTTATTATCTGAGCCTTAAACTGCACCTTCTATGAATGTTTTACTTCGTTCTGTAATCGTCCAACTCAAAACTGGAGTTTCATTCGATTCCCTTATGATCATACTGTGCATTTAATTTAAGCTTGTTTATTTTACAATCATCAATTGCAACCAGAGATTAATTGAGATCGAATTAGCCTCGTACGACTATTATAGAGCACTTCCAAGAGGAAAAGTTAAATTTTTTTTCGTTTGTTCTGATAATGTGCTGATGTACAGAAGAAATTTCCTCTTGGCTGCCATTAATTTGGCCGTTCCTGTCTCCGTCTTTCGTCAACCGGCCTCTCTCTGAGTTTCTAAGTTTGTTTTCACTTTCAGTTCATTTGACGCAAAGCTGGAAGAAAAATTTGAGAGGTAATTGCGTTTTGATCGTGAATTCAACTGGATTGAAGTTTTTGTATTCAACTTTCCCGCAAAGTTGTTTGTTTTGAGATTATTCGATCAGTAAAAGTTAAACTTTGTTTTAAGCAAGTGAAGTTGTCTTTGTTTTACCTTTACGGTCAAACAAAATTCCTTTCTTAGCTTTAGTATTCTAATCATTTGAGTCTTTTTTATTGTTATCGGATATCTTTGAATCATTTCGCAACAAGTTAAAGTTATGGAAAGTTTGTAAGTCAGTCAGTCATGAATGGCTTTGTGATTATTTAATTAGCTGGATTATAAGAATGATATTTGATCAAATCAGGAAGCTTTCGCTTATATACTGATTGCATGCTTCAAAATATCTCTGTTTTACCCTAACAGTGGCGAAAAAGTTTCTTAACGGCTGTTCTGTGATCTACATTAGGGACAGCACCATGCTTATGCAGGAATCCGTAATAAGTTTTGAGGAGGTTATGTAAACGAAACTGAAAGTAAAACTTTGCATTTCTCAATCTTTAACGCAATCTTTGTATATTGCAAAAGAGAGTTGTTTTTCAAGCAAAAGTCTTCTTTTCTAATTCTTGATTTATAGACTTCGTAATCCTCGTCAGTTACCTTAAATGTTTTGCTTTTGGATATATAACAATCAACGCATTTTGTGGGCAATAAGCCGAATTATATTTAGATAGTATTGTCACAAAGATTTACAAAAATGCGTCGCCAACTCATCCTTATCAGAGATGGAAAAATATAAGAGAGAAAATAATCAACTAAAATGTAGACATGGATTGCAGATGAACCACTTCAAGGATTCATCTTTGAGTTTAGAATATGCAAACTCATGTGATGTTATTTTGCTGTGGTTCTGCTCAGATGATCATGAAAATTGACTTTCAGCAGATAATCATCTTTTAGAATACCAAACAAAATTTAACGATTAAAACATCTAGTTTGAAAAACTGCTTTCCGTGTGAAACCAGTTTTGCTTTAATACATGCGTTTTGTAGTAGAACTTTAATTTTACACACAGCAGAGTTACTCGGTAAGATGCAAATCGTTGAACTATCATGCGATAGAAATCTCGAGCTTCTACTCTCACTGTTTCAAAGAGAGTTACATCTAAGAGTCAAAAAGGTATTTAGGAAGAACCCAAACGAACAAAGAAGAAAGAAGAATTATAAAGGAGACATAGAGATCTGACTCGGGTATTTCATCATTAGACATAATTAGGGTTGTCTGTGATGTACGTGCGTTTTCTTTGCTCCGCGTCCAAGGTAGCTTACACCTTTGCGAAGATTTGCAAGAGACATTGTACCTTGGACGAATTTTCGGAAAAACATCAGCCGTGAATGTTCCCGAAAATGTTTTCGAGATGTTGTGAATCTATCATTATGGAAATTACTTATAAATGCACGCATGTTCCCGAAAATGTTTACGAGATGTTGTGAATCTATTATTATGGAAATTACTTATAAATGCACGCATGCGTGACTTGTGGGTGCGACACGAACTGATTCACGGTATGTTGCGTAGACTTGGATCATTTCTACGTTGCGATGATACTTTGGTAGACTCTGGCTCTCGTAAATGAAAAAGTGAGAAAGCTTAACTTATTATCCCAGCCTTAAATTGTACCTTCTATGACTGTTTTACGTCGTTCTGTAATCGTTCGACTTAAAACTGGAGTTTCATTCCCTTATGATCATACTGTGCATTTAATTTAAGCTTGTTTATTGTACGATCATCAATTGCAAGCAGAGATTAATTGGGAGCGAATTAGCCTCACACGACTATTATAGAGCACTTCCGATAGGTAAAAGTAAAATTTTTTTCTCTGATTCGATCGGACTAATGAGCGTATGTTTGTTCTGATAATGTGTTAATGTACAGAAGAAATGTCCTCGTGGCTGCCATTAATTTGATAGTTCCTGTCTTCATCTGTTGTCAACTGGCCTCGCTCTGAGTTTTTTTGGTTTGTTATCACTTTCAGTTCACTTGACACAAAACTGGAAGAAAAATTCGGGAGGTATTTGCGTTTTGATCGTGAATTCAACTGGATTGAGGTTTTAGTTTTCGATTTTCCCGCAAAGTTGTTTCTTTTGAGATTATTACATCAGCAAAAGTTTAACTTTGTTTTCAGAAAGTCAAATCGTTTATGTTTTACCTTTACGGTCAAACAAATTTCCTTTCTTAGCTATAGGAATCTAATCATTTGAGTCTTTTTTATTGTTATTGGATGTCTTTGAATCATTTCGCAACAAGGAAAAGTTTTTGCCATGAATGGCTTTGTGATTATTTAATTAGCTGATTTACAAGACTGATATTTGATCAATTCAGGAAGCTTTTGCTTATATACTCTTTGCATGCTTCAAAATATCTCTGTTTTACACTTACAGCGGCGAGAAAATTTTTTTAACGGCTGTCCTGTGATCCACATTTAAGTGACTGCACCATGCTTATTAAGTGTGCACTGAAGAGGCTATTGAGCATTTGAACTCTAATCCCAAAGCAATCTTTCTTTGTGCTTCAGCATATAGCTTTACTTCACTAGTAACAGGAACCACTGAATAGTCTGCAGATGTTAAATTTATGCAACAGCCAATTCGAAGCTAAGTTTTCCCAAAAAGTATGAATATTTTCCTTTGCAGTTTGTCAAATGACATATTTACATATTAGATTTCCTCAGTTTCCAGTTTCAACCTGCTGTGTTCTGAAGTTAGCAGACACATGCAGTATCCATGAATTGAAATATCTGAAGGTTTTACCATTATAGGATTCCTCTTGAGTTCAATTATTTTCCAACAACCCCATTTTGAGCATGATCGAATGAAACAGCCTTATGTTGTTTATGTCTTTCAGATTATCCTAAAGCTTTCTTCAGTTCATTACACTGTTCAATAGCAACAATTACTGCCTTAACCCTTTAACTCCCAGATCCAATTTGTAATTCTCCTTACTGTCAGTTATACAATTCTTATAATGTTAGTTCATAGAATTTAGTATTGGATCAACTAATTATCTCTGAATTGACATTTTTCTTAAATCTTGTCACTTATTTGGTTGATAATGTATTTATATTGTAAGGAGAAATTTGGTCTTGGTCACTCATGGGAGTTAAAGGAATAAATATAGCACCTTAAATGGAATTTTTGTGACTGTCAATATCTCACATTTGATTAATATTTATTTTATGTTTTTCTTTTTCAGAAATTATTACATGTCCATCATTTTCTGACTGCTCATATTGTGATTTTTTGAAGGCAGGAAATCTAAACAGGGTAGGTATATATGTTTTTTTTTCCATTTTTTTCCCTCTTTAAATATGATACATATATGTAAGGATTTTTTGTGTCTTATTCTCATGAGAATGAAAAATGTTCATGTTATTATTTGCTATTCTCTTTTTTTCATGAATATCATTTTGCTTTGAATATGAAACATAATGTTAAAGTAGCAAGATAGGTCACTAATTAAATTTGCATCAATCTTTACCCAGTGGTTCAATCCTTTGAATTCATGCTCAGGAGTATAAATTGAATGTTGTCATCCTTCACTAGTGTTTGACACCATTTCTTATTATGTTGCACCTGGCAGAACTAAAAATATTTGTGTTTATAATTATCAACTTCCTGATTAACAAAAACAAAGTTGGAACATGTGGCTGCGAATGAGTTGCATTAGGATTTAAAGCAGACACTTTAATTACTTTTTTCGTGTGGAGGTTACTTTTGATGATGTTTGTAGCATGTTGAAGCACAAAATTTTACTCAGTGCTGGAAAAATTGTGACAATTGTGTAAACAATTCAACATGTTCAAGATATTCATAAATTGCCGTTATAGATAGCTATTAACAGCCAATTTGTTCAGTTTCTGTAAAAGTATACCTCATCAGAAAACCAGATTGACTTTAAGGGGATGATAAAAATAATGAAAACCATCATGGCCCATACCATTTTACAACTGCTCAAATGGTGAAATTTAAAATTTTTCATATCCAGCCCAATCATGGATTTTTGGAATAAGGAGACCCTAAATTGTTTAAAAAATAGTAATCTGAAAGTTGACTTTGTGGGAAATGGCTAAGAGAGGCTGTTTATTTTCGTCCAATGAAAAGTGTGTGAAAATAGCTGGCACGCTGAAAGATTTAAAATAATTTGAGTAACATGTATTCCTTAAATCTCACCAGAGGAAATTTGAAACTAACAAAACTCAAGACAAAGAAGAACCTGTGGATAAGATTTTTTGCAAAATGGATGTACTTCATAGATGAGAGCTAGTAACATTATTTTGTTATATCCATAACAAAAAGTCTTTTTTTTTATTTCTCTGAAATTAATAATCAGTTTTTTTTGTCGGCTTGGCTCCTTTTTTTACTTTTTAGGGGCCTAAACTTGAGTGTTGTAAATTACCAAAACCGTGGAAAACACAAGAAAAAAAAGCGTACTTTATGTTACAGACATGACATTACAGACATTACATTATGGACATTATATTATGGACATTATGACTGCATGACTTTTATTATGGTAATTCTTTTGGGAGAAATAAATGCTACATGCATACCAATTTTGTTCAAATTTATCACATCCAAATTTTCAGTGCTTTTAACTAAACACTAATATCAATAACCATAACAACAACTGTACATTAGCAGTAGCAACACCACGCTGACATGAGGAGTATAAATTTTCAAAAAGTCTGAGTCTAAGTGTGAATTAAGTTTACTGGGAGACATTATATTTAGAGTCAGTACCTTCTTTTATAATATCTGAAGATAACAAATTAAAATATAACATGCAATGTTTCAGAAATGTAGCTTAAAACAAGCAATACTTTAACTTTCAAAGGCCATTGCACTGATAATACTATAGAGAAAGTTGTCAATTCATACAGTTCAGTGCAGTGTAACTTTCCAAAATAGTATCAACTGGCTTATTAAGAGTCAATGAATAGTACTCTTACAAAAAGTTCAGAACAATCCAAGTTTAGTAATTAAAGCAGTGTTTAACTACTGCAATCTGCAGTTAGTTTGATCATCTATTTGCAAGCATTTTCTTTTCAAAGATATTTAAAAAGCCTCTCAATATGTGGAGCTACAGTAGACTCTTCTCTTGTGGACAATATCAATATTGCTCCTCAGAGACCAGTTAAATGTTTTGACAACTTGGTGAAGAAATTTGATTTCAACCTCAGTATCAGTAACCCTAAGGGCCCTTCCAATGTTTAATTTAGTGTTACACTAGAAACCTGTATTGTGTCTCAAAAAGCAAGAACCAAAAGACAGCAGAAACACTAATTAGAGCATGCTCAATAAAACAGAATTGTAAGGAGCATGCTCCATATGGGATACTCCACATACCACAGTTACATGTACACCCAAGTGTGATATTAATGCTTTGGTTATCAGCACAACCAGAAAAGAGAATTAACCTTTAACTCCCAAGATCTAATTGTTAATTCTCCCCTCTAGCTGCTACACATTTCCTTGTAAATTAGTTATGAGAACTTGGTGCTAGATCAAGATAGCAGCTTCTACCTGATAAGTTTGAATATTCTCATCACCTGTTTCCTGAATAATGTATGGATTTGTAGGGAGAAGTTTTACATTAATCACCTCTGGGAGTTAAAGGGTTAACTTGTAATTGGGCTCGATTAAGATAAATTTGGTCATGTACCCTGTGAGGAATGTTTGTACAAATTATACATTGAACACTGTGCAAAATAAGTTTGTTAAGGAGATTAGTCTCCAAAAAAACTGGTCTCTGAATGTAATGTCTGTAACATGGAATTGCCCTCATGATTCTCGGAATCATGATGGCACATTTCGTTTCAGAGAAACAGGTGTCAAAGTGACTTTTAAGACTTCATTATGTCCTTACAATCACAGAAAAATTGTGCAGGTGGATTTTACTGATGAAAATTAAGAATCCTATATATGATTAATGATAGAACTGAAATGTTTATTGAGTAAGGTGTAGAAAAAGATGAATATGTAATGAAAGGTTTCAAAATTGAATGCTGGTCCAGCTTGTAACACAAGCATGAATGGGTGATTTTTTCTAACAAAAGCATAAACAATAAATTTCTATTAAGCTGTTGTTTCCTAGCTCTGCCTGAACAGTTAATGAGCTAGAGTGATATTCCCTGAGGAGGAAAGCCTGCGTAATCTCTGACCAATCAAAGCTCTCCAGAGTACAGTTCGCTGCTAATATTACAGATCTATATATTTTTCACTACTGTTAGTAAATGTCTTGAGAACAATGGGCATTTTGCATGATGTGTTGGTGTGTTGAGTGTGTGTTATCACCTTTGTCCCTGAAATCATATGGAGAGTCACATTTGGTCAGCCTTTGTGAATCATGGTGGTTTTTGTTGTTGTTGTTGTTGTTGTTTTTTTTTAATTCCAGTTGAATTGTGTTAATTATAAATTAATAAAGGGGGTAAGTTTCTAAAGTAACTGTGGTGCTGCCTTCGTGGGAGAGTAAACCAGGATAATTTAGTATTATCAACTGAGTTGATAAGGTTTAAAAAGATGACATATGAAATTTTGAGTGTTAGCCCATTATCAGAGCAACAAATTGTCAGCTTTTAAACTCGTCACAGTAGCAAATTTACATTATCAATTAACTCAGCTGATAATATGAAATTACTTGGATATAATTATAAAATGATGCGGTTAATACCACTTATAACTTTAGGCACCTGTTCGTGCCCTTATTTGTGACTGTCTTTGTCTTTCATAACTGATATTTAGTAACTGTTGTTCTGCTGCTTCCCTTTTCAGACTTTCTGACTTTATCCCTGATTGAAGGGTTATTTTCTTGAACCCAGGAAACTCTATACAAGGTAGGAGGACTTGCTGCTCTTTTTTCTCTCATTTTTGAAACTTGGCTTCATTTTGTCAATCTGTATTAACCCTTTAATTGCCATGAGTGACCAAGACAGAATTTCTCCTTACAATGTCAACGGAATATCAACCAGATAAGTGATGAGAGTAAAGAAATGTATAAATTTGGGGATAATAAGTTGATTCAATACTAAATTCTCCGAACTAACATTATAAGAATCGTATGGTTGGGAGTAAGGAGAATTACAAATTGGATGTGGGAGTTAAAGGGTTAATCATTTATTTGCTGGGAATAATTGTGTCCTGTTTGCATATGTTTAGAATTCTAAGCTATTGTTTCTTACCCTTGCGAAATGGCTTTTGGAATTCCTAGGAATTCCTAGGATTTTCCTAGAAATTCCTAGGAATTCCTAGGAATTCCCAACCATAACAACTCTGGTTCTAAAAACCTAGAAATTCCTAGAAATTCCCAGAAATTCCCAGAAATTCCCAGAAATTCCAAGTTTATAGCCAACAGGACTTGGAATTCCTAGGAATTCCTAGGAATTCCAACTCAGAGAACCAATGACTTTCCCTGAAAAGCTGTAAATCTAAAAAATTCGTAGGAATTTCTGGGAATTTTTGGAAATTTTTAGGAATGTTTAAGAATTACTGGGAATTTTAAGCAAAAATATGAGGCTAATGAAATAAAATAGATACTTTAAATTAAAAAAACCCAGCTTAAATTCAAGTATTCAATGAAATTTATTTAGAAGCTTAATTAAGGCTTACATGTAAAATATTTTTGATTAATTATTAACATCAATGTGTGGTAATATTAGGATGGAATTTGATTTATTTTTCTTTTCTTGAAAACTTCATACGGATTAATCCTCAATTACAGCTATTCATATAAAATAGTTCTAATCAATCATTAAATTTGGTTTGACACAAATTGTGAATAAAATCTGTTGATTCTTTTCCATAAAATACAATATCTTAAGTTATATTTGAAAACCAAGCACTCTTGGGAGTGAAGGGGCTAATTACAGACAAATAAAATTGATTTTTTGATTAAAATCTTGTTGTAACTGTAACAATAAATTAGAACGAAGTTATCCTAAACTGCAAACTTAGCTGCTGTTTGTACTGTTTGTATTTATTTTCCTGGGCTCACAATGAGTCGGCCTTGAATGAGGTTGTCAACAAGAACCTTGACCATTTTGTATCTGGATTCCTTGACATCTGAATTTGAAAAAAAATAATATATTTAAATATGTATATTTAAAGCTCAGACCAGGCTTTTAAGATGGCTATGAGGAAAAGGGCATTCATTGGATTCTCAAATTGAGAAATCTCTGTTATATTGAGTGACTTTTATATTGGAGTTAGTACATCTCTCTCATGGATTTTACTAAAAAAGGGCTGAATACATTATTTTGTTTTTACCAGGGAGGGCTTCTTTATGTACTATGGTTTGTTTAATAACAGTTCCTATTATGAATCTTGAATGTTCCCAAACGTGACTAGAGGAATCTTGAAACCTTACTGATAGGTTTATTTCATTGTAAAACATAAGCTTAAGAAACTGCGGCATGCAAGTGACCGATTCGATTCTCAGAATTATTCTAGTTTCAGTTGCGCCGAGCGTTATGTAAGCTTAATTCAACCCGCTACATCTATTCTTTTATAAGATTTTGATCACGTAACGAATATCGCAATTTTTACTCACCACAAACTTTCAAAATCGTAGCTTTACAGATGGCCACTCGACCCTTGTTTGTACCAGTCAATATGTCAACTGTTGTCCCTTCTTTTAACTCCACGGCGCCATCGACTTTCTTTTCTTTTACAACACTCACGCTATTCTCGTTTTCCCATTGAACCACAATAAAAGCTATCTTTAGAAATGTTATATTAAGCAAAACAGTTGAGAAAAGCGATCAACCGATGAAAAGTACATTCAAAGATGAGCGCCAAATGGAGTCTTCTTTGTTTCCGATCACGGGCATGATCACGTGGATCTTTTAGGACTTGTCATTGGCTAGCAAAGTGAATCCCCTGACTTGCCGATTGCAGTGTTAAGAGAAGCGCCCAACTTTATTCTGACTTCTCCGACCGGTTCTCTGCCTTTAGAAGATGGATAGCTTGGTGATATAAATAAAGATGTGAGCTCACTCTATGTAGAAATAATTGACAAGAATCGATCGTATTACAAATGCACGATTTGTGGCCGAAAGTTGTCGAGGAAACAAAGACTCGAAACTCACTTGAGTTGTGTTAATGGCAAAGGTGAGAAATAACACAAGCCAATCACAGTTTTGAATGCAACTACAAATCGTCTTTTACCCTCATGTTTATAAAAGAAGGATACCACATTCGGAAGTATAAGAGATACATAGATGATCCCAGTGTACCAGTACCTAAATCTACAAAGCTTGACCGTAGCAAGCGTTCAGCAACACGTTCCAACACCGCCATCTCGATTCCTCAGTCAGTCGTTTCCACTGAACTTAAAGCAGTATTGACAACAGAGTAGAGTGCGTCTTACAAAGGAGAAACATTTGTACAAGAGACAGAAGTAGCTATATGCAATTACAGAGGTGTGTTGGAACTCTGGTCCACAAATAGTTATGCACTGCCCGAAGTACAAAACAATTTTGTTGATAGCTGACAGACAGAGAAGAACAACAAGTAAACTTAAGAGCTGTTATTATTGAAGTGTGACTAGCACTTTTCATTTTTATATAAAGAAGGACTTGTAATTTGCACCAAAAATAAAAAGATGTAATATTTTTTGGGAGATCCAGTGATTGGGACATTTAAGAAATTAAGTTATGAAAGGAAACTTGGTTGGTACTTCTCACTACTAACAAGTCTTGTTGACAAATATTTTCAGATCAGAATTTCAAATAAAGTAAATTGAAGACGTCATATAAAAGGTGTTTTTCCTCAAAGGGAACATTGACTACCTCTGTCTTGTCTGCATGTCAAATGTTTGCAAAGTGTGTGGATAATCCACAAGTATTGGAATTCTTACAAAAATGTTTTTTGTAACAGCAAAACAAATTACAGCAATTAGTCATGAAAATAGAGCAAAAAACTGAAAAAAAAGCGGCAACAACAATCATGAAAAAAGAAAGATTAATTAGGTGTTGAATTTGTTTGTATAAGGCATGAAATTTCTACTAAAAGTATTGTCAACAAAAAGTCTCTGACAGCGTTTGAGGCAACTGAGCTTGACTGTTCCAAGGTTTTCTAACAAAGGCAACCAGTAATGTAGGTTAGGGAAGTAAGATAACAATGTAATTATTGTTAATTATTGTGGAAGTTGGCAATTTCCATTTAACATAACTGACAGCTGGTTCATGAGAAAATCCATATTAATGTAAAGATTTACTAAAACTTAGTTTGAGTAATAAATTTCATGATCTTTAAGTTATAAACATGTACATGTACTTATATCTCTTGGTAAGTTTTGCATAGCATACCCTTTATTGAGCCAAAGTTTTAAGCCCTTGAAATCACTCTTTTTCTTAAAACCTTCACATTCAAGGTATTGAGAATTTCTTAGAATTTATGTGGACCTCAGGGTATTAAAATTGCCTCGAATTCAATTCCCAGAAATTCCCAAGAGTTCCACACTTCTTAAATTATAGGTAGTTTGTAAAGCTGAGAATTCCTAGGAATTCCTAGGGATTCCAAGTCCTCACAAAACTCCTTGAACAGTTAATGAGCTAGAGTGATGTTCCCTGAGGAGGGAAGCCTAGTATGTAATCTATGAATTATCAAAGCTCTGATTACAGTTCACTGCTAATATTATAAATAAAGGGGGTAAGTTTCTAAAGAAACTGTGGTGCTGCCTCAGTGGGAGAGTATCATGACAGGGTAATTTAGTATTATCAATTGAGTTCATAAGGTTTAAAAAGATGACATTTTGAGTGTTAGCCTTTTCATCAGAGCAATTGGGCTGACAAAGGAATTGTCAGCTTTTAAACTCATCACAGTGGTGAATTTACATTATCAACTCAGCTGATAATATGAAATTAATTTGATATTATATAATGTTGTGGTTAATACCACTTATAACCTTAGGGCACCTGTTAGTGCCATTCTTTGTGACTGTCATTTTCTTTGATAACTGATGTAAAGTAACTGTTGTTCTGCTGCTTTTCTTTTCAGACTTTCTGACTTTATCCCTGATTCAAGGGTTATTTTCTCGAACCCAGGAAACTCTATACAAGGTAGGAGGACTTGCTGCTCTTTTTTTCTCTCATTTTTGAAACTTGGCTTCATTTTGTCAATCTGTTAATAACCCTTTAACTCCCATGAGTGACCAAGACAGAATTTCTCCTTACAATATAAACACAATATCAACCAGATAAATGATGAGAGTGAAGAAAAATATAAATTTGGGGATAATTAGTTGATACAATACTAAATTCTCTGAACTAACATTATAAGAATTGTATGGTTGGGAGTAAGGAGAATTACAAATTTGATGTGGGAGTTAAAGGGTTAATAATTTATTTGCTGGGAATAATTGTGTCCTGTTTGCATATGTTTAGAATTCTGCATGCTCTCATTTCACTTATATCCATGTGAGTATTAATTATTTTGCCTGGTAATGTTATGTCAAGAACTATACATTATATTAATGACCTATTTAATTATGTTGTGATCGATGGTTGTGCATGATTATGTTTGGCTACAAACATGTGGAAATACTCTTAGAAAATGTTGCTGAAATTCTGGTGGTCCTTCTGATATACTGCTGGTTTAATTACTGATTACATGCAGCTAGGTTTGTGAAGTGTTTCAACTGTATGTTGACTTATGAATATTAACATTTGAGAGACTCAATTTTGGGTCATTGATTAAAACTTATTAATTCATATAAAATCAAAGTTTAAGCTCCCCTCCTAAAACAGGAATATGGAAGATCTTGTGCAGAGATCTGGTTCCATCCTTGGCAAAGTACATATGGATTAGCAATTATCACCCCATGCTTGCATGTCTTGCATGGGAAATTAGTACATTCATGCAAAGTGTCTATCATTAAGGTTTTGCCAAGTTAAACCTAACTTAAGTCCTTTAAGGTACCCTTTGGCAATTAGCGGCTACCATGGTGATTTTGCATAAATTATTTTTTTTGTGTGGAGAGGTTTAACTTTTAATAATTTTTGTAGCATGGACGTCAAAGCACAAAATCTAACCCAAGCTGGATGAATAACGAAGATCATGTAAACAATCCAACATGTTCAAGATATTCATAAATTACCATTACATATAGAGCCATTGACGGCCAAAACATTTGTGTAAAAGTATATTTCATCGGATGGCAAGAGCAATTTTTACGAGATGGTAAAAATAACCAAAACCATCATGACCTATTCATATTGACCTATATGTAAATAGTGAAATTTAAAATATTTCATATCTAGCCCACTCATGAATTTTTGGAATAAGGAGACCCTAAATTGTTTAAAAAACAGTAATCTGAAAGTTGACTTTGCAGGAAATGGCCAAGAGAGGCTGTTTATTTTTGTCCAATGAAAAGTGTATGAAAATAGCTCTTTTTTTGTTTTCTCTGAAATTGAAAACCAGTTTTTTTTGGTCTGCTTGGCTCCTTTTTTACAAATTCTAGGGGCCTAAACTTGAGTGTTGTAAATTACCAAAATCCTCGAAAAGCACGAGAAAAAATAAAGCCCACTTTATGTTATGGACATTATGTTACAGACATTATATTACAGACATCACATTATAGACATTATATTATGGACATTATGACTGCATAACTTTAATTATGGTAATTCTTTTGGGAGAAATAAATGCTACATGCATACCAATTTTGTTCAAATTTATCACATCCAAGTTTTCAGTGTTTTTGACTAAACACTAATGACAATAACCATAACAACAACTGTACATTAGCAGTAGCAACACCAAGCTGACATGAGGAGTATAAATTTTCAAAAAGTTTGAGTCCAAGTGTGAATTAAGTTTACTGAAAGACATGTCATATTTAGAGTCAGTACCTTCTTTTATAATATCTGAAGATAACAAATTAAAATATAGCATGCAATGTTTCAGAAATGTAGCTTAAAACAAGCAATACTACAACTTTCAGAGGCCATTGCACTGATAATATTATCGAGAAAGTTGTCAATTCATACAGTTCAGTGCAGTTTAACTGCATGATTCAGTGTAGTGTAACTGCATGATTCCCATATTGACGAAAATTTTCTTAACACAGTGTTGTTTGCTTATGATTATGTAGTTTGCTTGTGATTGTGTAGTTTTTGTCCTTGTTGGGATGGTGATAGATGATGCTTTTGCAATTATGTTTCAAGTGACCAAGTTGTAGCAGTGATCTTTGCAGGGTGGTAAATGGAGGTTGTGCAGTCTTGCTTTGATTTTTAACTGTAGTTTATATATTTGTGTCTGCTTGTGCATCGTTTTGGAGCTATGGAGGTTTTAAGGTTTAGGTATAATGGTTACGCCGGCAATGGTCAGATCTTTGTGATGCTGCATGAAGTAGTAAAAACGGGTGCGGCTTTTGTATTAATGCTGGTACAACTGTGATTACTTTTATTATTAGATACTTCTTAGGCGAAATGGGGAATTTTGTTAGATATAATAAATCCTAAATTTTAAGATTAAGTTTCTCTTTTTAGATTAGTTTTTTATTTTAGCAGTATAGTATATATCATTTAATTATTTTAGTGATGTGTAGGTCCACATCAGCCTTCTTGGCTGCCAATTTGTTACCTGCATTATCAAATAAAATGATGATGATGATGATGATGATGATTAAGAATCAAACGTCAACCAGCCAGAACTGACCGGGTTTAAGGCCCTAGAGAGGAAAAAAAAAACTTATTTCCCCTTAACCTTTCAAATCGCGTTTCATTTCTGCTGTTTATGTCTCTGGTTGTTACTTTGTAAACTGAAAAACAAAACTCTTTCTTAATCTAGAAACTGGGTTGAAATGAAAAATCTCAGATTAAATCTCTTATTAGGTTCTTTCGTTGGTGTTCCTTGCTTAAAAGGATTTAGAAAATGACATCACGATTTGAAACCATTCTCGGTCTCAATTGGCTATCGGGATTTTTTTTTTCGAATGGGTTTGATTAACATTACTTAATGTCAATTCTCTTTTTGACAGGTCATCCTGGAAAAGTTAGTATTATGGCTACGGCTATTTCGCCATTTGCGTCTACGAAAGAGACTACCAACTATGCAAGGCTATGCCGCCTCCTGGTGGATGTTGGATCTCAGGTGCTTAGGTCCACTTTTGACACAATACATCCACCAGCGACTCTATATACAGTTTTGGGAAGTACCTCAGTGCATTACGCCACATTGCAATCACTGTACAAAGGGAGGAAGAAAGTGCTGAATCCCACGCAATGGGGAAAGTTGTACCCTACTCACGCACCCGTGTCTTCTGCAGCCTTCGATATCACACTTCTAACGGTGCTTCTTAGAAATATCTGTGGTTTGGGCCCTCCTGCCAATGGATGGGATCGTCTTCCCCTAGCTACAAACATAAGCATCGCAGATGACATCGCCAGAGTAAAGTATTACAGGAACACTGTATACGGCCATGCTTCTCAAGCCTCTGTGGATGACAGTAGTTTCAGTGCTTACTGGCAGGAAGTAAGAGAAGCTTTGGTGAGACTCGGAGGAGCTCATTTTAGAGCTGAAATCGACAACCTTGAGCACGACTGCATGGATCCAGATATCGAGGAGCACTATCGTCAACTGATGAAACAATGGAAGAAAGACGACGACAGCATCAAAGACAAGCTTGAAGAAATTGAAAGTAAGTAAAACATTATCCACTGCCAATGTGGATGAATCAGAAGGCTACAAAAGTATATATTTCCAATTAACACGGTAGTGTAGGTCAGCTCATGATGTTTTCATCATGGTCGGCACTAGTCGTATATTTGGAAGGTATATTTGCATTCTGTGTAAAATGAAGAATTAACCCAAATGTTGACACTACGTTTTCATTTGCAGTATTTTTGTCTGTTCGTGGGTACTCGTGTACAACGGCTATAGTGCATTTGTTGATTTCTAAGCGTCTTATTGCGTTTGATCTATTCGGAATCGACTAGATATTGATATACATATCATTGTTTTATCTGCACCTAACGTGAAGCTGTGATATAAATTTGCTTATGAAAATGCGCATACCTTTTGAAATTTTCAGATTCGCTGGATAACACGAGAGACGCGATTGACAAGATAGAGATCGAAGTGAAAGAGGTGAAAGAGAAGCTGAGTAGTCTGACGGCCTCAGCTGAAAAAAGGGCACAAGGTTAGTTGGTAGAGAGAGCTACTCACAGCAAAAAAATTATTAAGAGCGACACTGTTTCTTGGGTACATAGCGCAGCTCATGTGCATGACGACGGTAAATGCTGGATGTAAGCCAACACAGCATACTTTACTAGTCCAAGAGCACACCCTGATCAATACTGGCACTGGCTTTACACGAAGATTCTATGTAATGTGTGGGATGCACGGAATCTGAGATTTTCTACCCTGGCTACCTCTCGGATTTAATGGTGTTTTGACAGCACTCATACATATGTATCATCGTAGTCGGGATAGTTTATCGTCTTGTTTTAGTATTACCTTTCTTATAATGAACCTAACTTCCTAGTAGCGTTAGATGTGACCCGCATATTTCGCAACGAAATAACCAAATCCTTCCTCCTAGCGTATTGGAGTATTCAATTCTACATGGGAAAATAGTTAAATTAGGATCGTCTTGAGTAAAATAGGTTAGAATAAGATGTGTGGTTATTTTACATTTCCTGAGGAAAAGACTGTCGGCAAAACCTCCCACTTCATCGCAGGCGGGTTTCTAGATTTCTCCAGCTTTGAATCACCGCGGTGTTGGGTAACTCATGATGTTTTCATTTTGGACGGAACCAGTCACATACTTGGAACGTTATTCTAGCGTTATGTGTGAAAAATGAAGAATTAACCCAAATGTACACATTGTTTTCATGGGCAATATTTTTTCTGTTCGTGGGTACTCTTTTATAACTGCTGGAGTGCATTTTTGTAATTTCTAAGCGTCTTATTGAGTTTGATCTATTCGGAATCGACTAGTTATTGATATACGTTCCATTGTTTTGTCTGCGCCTAAACGTGAATCTGTGGTGTAAATTTGCTTATGAAATTGCGCCTATCTTTCTTAAATTTCCAGATTTTCGAGAAAAGATGAGACACGACCTCATAGACACAACTGAGAAGATAGAGATTAAAATGAAGGAGATTTTAGAGACGCTTAATAGCCTGACGACCACAGTGGAAAAAAGCACAGATGAAGGTTGGTTACTAGAAAGAGCTACTCACACATAAACTGAACTATCAACAGGGATTCTGTTAACACATCTTTTGAGCATGACCACATTATTCGCGTGATGTCAGACAATTTAACATCCTTTTAGGTAATGTATTGTTGTAAGAGCACATCTTGGCTTTTAACCTGCTCTGGCTACAAATGAAGATACTTCGTAATGTGTGGGATGAATGGGATGGTATGGATGTGAGGCTACCTCTCGGTGTTGTATGGTTTTCTGAGAGCGCTCATACATATTTAGCCGAGAAGGTTATTGTCTTATACTAGTTTTACTTTTGTTGAGGAAATAAGGAGAAATGAGAGGGCAGAAAGGCGTTCTTTGGTTTTTATTAATTAGTTCTTACAATGTCGCTTTTACTGACAAAAATCTTTCTCAGACTATCGGCTCCAATGATATCAATATTTATATCTTGGGTTTCACTATTAGAAACCGCTGAAGCTGGGCCAAAAGGTTTTTTAGAATGTTGTATAGAATAAAAAGAAAACACAGAGGAAGGGAAAAGGATCTATTTAGTTAACTTTTAATAAATAAAGTGACTCTCACTCGGACTAAAAATTTCCAATGTTATTCCACGAAAGGGCCTCTTGAGAAAATGAGAAGCGAAATGGCAAAGATAAACAGTGAACTTAAAGAAGTGAAGGAAAAGCTGTGTACTTTGGCAACCCCTGTGGGAGAAAGTAAGAATGAAGGTCAGTTGAATTATACAATAAAAATTATCCTGCTTAACCGCAAATTTAGCCGTAGTTAACAATGTTCTGTATGTAAGAGAGAGATCATCCTATCTTAGAGAGATTCAGTTTTTCAATTTAAACAATCTCTGGAATAGTCTCTGTGGTGTGCTTTCATTCCCTTCAATTATTTAAACTTTCACCCGTAATTAGCCCAGAAACATTACATTTTTATTAGAAGGGAGAACGATATAAAAATAAAGTACAGTTTTAACGAAAATATTGGCATTAAGTTCGGCTCCATGTTAGAAATTAACAGAGTAGGTTCGACGGCATTTATAAGCTAAATGGCCTTTGGTCATTAAATTAACATGAATCATACATTGATACCTTTTCTTCATTGTCCAAGTAATTTCTTTGGCAATGGTGTCGAACTCGTTCACTTATTTAAATTCAGTGCCGAATACCTAGCAGCATTAAATGTGATCCGCATATTTCTGAATAAAACAACTAAACCCTTCCTTCGCACATATTGTGGAGTATTCAATTCTACATGGGAAAATAGTTGAATGAGGATCTTCTCGAGTAAAATAGGTTAGAATAAGATGTATGTGGTTATTTTATATTTCCTGAGGAAAAGACTGTTGGCAAAATCTTCCACTTCATCGCAGGCGAGCCTCCAGTTTTCTGCAACATTTGTGATGAAACCGCGCGACAAAGAAGGCAGAAAGGCGTTGTTTCGTTTTCATTTATTAGTTCGTAGTCTCGCTATATCCCGAAAAAGCCTTGCTCAGACTATGGCTCCAATAATATGGATATCTATCTCCCGTGTAATTTATTTTACAACAGAAATTCACACACCGGTAAAGCCGAACAAACAGAGGAGGTTCAACTGAATTTATAATCTAAATGGCTTTTAATCAGTAAGCATGAATCATACACTAAAACCTTTTTGCGTAGTCCTAGTAATTTCTTTGGCAACGGTATCGTACTCATTCGCATATTTAAATTCAGTGCCGAATACCAGAGAGGTATCATAATTTTCAACACTGCATTCATTAGATTTCTTACTTATTTTGCTACTACTAGGTATTTTTGATCCAACTGAACTTATCAATGGAATTTGCCAGCTGTACAAGACTCGTGAGGGATGGCTCTCACCATTTCCATGGTGTGAAGAGTTTCAGTTTTTTCTTGGAAGTATTTTTACAAGGCTCAAAGTGGTCAGAAGAAAGAAAACGAGAGGAGAAATCACTGACGTATTTGTTGACATGTCGTCAATACTAGAACCGTATGAAGAGTGTTCAGCGCCGAGAACGGTGTTGATTGAAGGAGAACCTGGTATGGGAAAAACCACCTATTGTAAAAAGTACGCCTACGACTGGGCCACAAAACAGCAAGCACCTCAGGTATGCGGCTCAACGGCATTTAAAGTGGTATTGTTGCTGAAATGTCGAGATATCCATTCTGACGTTTGGGAAGCTATTGATGATCAGCTTCTGCCCCGAGACATCAATGAAGAAGTCAAACAACAATTCTTTCAGTTTATTCGTGAAAATCAGTCCAGCATTTTATTGATATTGGATGGATTGGATGAGTTACCGTCCAGTAAATTGTCGATGTTTTCCGAATTGATTGAAGGAAGAGTACTCCCCAGATGCCACATAGTTGCAACAGCAAGACACGAAGTTGGAAAAGAGGTGAGAAAATATTGTGACGCGCTGCTTCAGATTGAAGGATTCACTGAAAAGCATGCGAAAGGATTTGTCACCAAGTACTTCAAAGAAAGGCCGGATTTAGCCACCAAGCTCTCGGAACGGATGTCGCGAGATAAAAACCTGAGAGAAATAGCGGCCAATCCTCTAAACACAGCACTTCTTTGCCTTTTATGCGAAGAGTTTGAGGGCACACTCCCCGAAAGCAGAGCTCAACTGTACTTGGATATGGTTGAATGTGTTTTGAGAAGATATAGAAAAAAAAAGGGACTACTAGAAACGATCGAAGACTTGACAAACTATTACAAACCGCAATTGAATCACCTTGGAAAGGTAGCGTTGAATGGTTTACTTGACGATAAGCTGGATTTTAATGAAAGTGAATTGAGAAACCATGCAAAAGACCTGACTGAATTTGGATTTCTGTCAGTGCAGCCTGGTGGCAGCAAACTGAAACCAACACTGCATTATGCCTTCTTACATAAAAGTTTTCAAGAATTCTTTGCAGCATTCTTCATTTGTTCTCAGATTCAAAGCAAGGAAATGAAACCTGAAGAACTAGTTTCCGATCCAAGGTATTTCGTTGAACTTAAACAAATACTTTTGTTTTCGTGTGGAATTTTGGCCATGAAATGCGATGAACAGGTTGTGGCTCTTGTAAAGAGTTTAACAAATGAAGTCAACAAAAATGAAGGCCGTGGTGCAAAAATTGTATTGGAGGCCATCAACGAATGCAAAAGAGAAAAAAGTGATTTTCACTCGCATTTATCGAAGTCGTTTGGAACTGGTTTGAATCTGACCAATTTGAATTTGCAAAACAATGGTATTAGTGATGCGGGTGCTACATGTATTGCTGAGGCAATCAAAGTGAACAAGACGCTAACCAATTTGAATTTGTCTTGGAATGGTATTAGTGATGCGGGTGCTACATGTATTGCTGAGGCAATCAAAGTGAACAAGACGCTAACCAATTTGAATTTGTCTTTGAATGGTATTAGTGCTGCGGGTGCTACATGTATTGCTGAGGCAATCAAAGTGAACAAGACGCTAACCAATTTGAATTTGCGAAACAATGGTATTAGTGCTGCGGGTGCTACATGTATTGCTGAGGCAATCAAAGTGAACAAGACGCTAACCAATTTGGATTTGCGAGGTAATGGTATTAGTGATGCGGGTGCTACATGTATTGCTGAGGCAATCAAAGTGAACAAGACGCTAACCAATTTGGATTTGCGAAGTAATCGTATTAGTGCTGCGGGTGCTACATGTATTGCTGAGGCAATCAAAGTGAACAAGACGCTAACCAATTTGGATGGGTTTTAACAACTAAAACAACTTTGAAGTAAAAGGACACTGCCTTTAAAGTAGGCAGGTTCCCTTGAAAATTGAGGGCCGAAGGCCCGAACCTCTAGGGGGGTCCGGGGGCATGCTCCCCCGGGAAATTTTTAAAAGATAAGTCTCCCAGAAACGCATTTTCCTGCAATCTGGAAAAGAAATCTTCTTGCAATGATGCATACTTAATCTATCATAAGAAAAAAGAATGGTACTCTGGGAGAATTTGTTTATTTCACTGTTGTTTTCGGAGCCTCTTTTTATCCTACATTTACAAGTTAAAGGCCCACTTTCAACCTTGATGCAACGCCTTTCAACCTTGACGCGACCCAATTTCCTGTAACACGGAATTCCCAGATCACTAAAAACCTTCTAAAATCGTCTTTCTCAAGAGCCACCCTGAACACGCTTGGATCTCTTCATACTCTATGAAGAGTCGGCGAAAAGGACAATATTCAAATTTTTTCACTTTTTAGAAGCGCTTGAGGATTCTAAATGAAGACAAAATACTTCCAATAGAAACTGGTATTTTCCAAAGAGAAATATGGAAAAATATCAGACTGCCGGACGTCTAGTTATTTAAAGACCGTGTCCGGTAGTGTCTGGTGAAAATTTTCTTAGTGTCGCTCTTGGATCTCCTCGCACTCTGTGTACAAGGTCAGCGAAACGGAGAACGTTGGCATTTTTTCACTTTTTAGAAGCGCTTGAGGATTGTAAATGAAGGTCGAATATTTTCCAATGAAAAATTAGTATATTTCAAAGAGAAATATGGAGTTATTTGAGGACCGTGTCCAGCCGTGTCAAGCGCTTGGATGGCTTCGTACTCTGTGCAAAATGCAGACTACGGACCGCAGACCGGGTACAAAATGCAGACTGAGAATTTGTACTGTTTTTTCGTCTGATACGTGATAACATGGCATCTTACAACTTACCGAGCGTCACGCAAGCGCTTTTCCTCGATCATCTTTCGCGATTATTTGCACTATTGTGGAATATTCCTTGCCTGTCTCTTAATCACAATCGTTCTTAATTTTTTTCAAGCCTCGTTTAGTATTCTCATTTTCCGCGCGAGTTGGTTGGCGTGATGTCTTTACAGAATTTACCAACTAACTAAAAGTAGATGTGGATGTAAATGGATGCCACTATTGAATATTTAACCTGCGCAATATTCGAGAAATTCATCTTTTTAACCGATATGTGTTCATTTTGCTGACAAAAATGCGAACCAAGACCAGAACTTTTCTTTCGACTTGATATATTTTCAACGTTCAGAAGTGTACACATACTGATTTCCCCTTAGTGTCTTATATTGTCATTGGTTTTCATGAGAAACCGGAGAATTTTTATAGGGAAAAGCGAAGCGTTGCCCTCGTGACTGGCCATTTGTTAACTTTTTTGGTGGTTTTATCTCTCGTTGGTTTGGTGACTACGCAAATATTAATATGTGAAAATCAGATTATATGAAGACTTGAAATTCTATTAGGAACGATTGTGGCCGCTTTGTTAAAAATCAAATGCAATGGCCGCTTTGTTTAAAACAAAAGATATCAAGAAACGGGCAAGGAATATTTAATAGATAATTATTGCGGCAGTCAGCGTTATGAGATATATTGCAGCCAACTGAGGGCGTAGTCTGCCTAATGACCTCTGCCCATCCCACCTCCAGCCCACACAAACTTTTTTCCGATCCCCATCACTACGAATGCACAAGTTTTCTTATCACACAACTGCCCAAAAATAAAAAAATTTATTCCAAAAGTCTTGAAAGTTCACATAAACCGAATTCATCTGCACCTATATTCAGCAAGTCCAAGAAATCAATGCAAACCTAAGCCATAACATGAATGAGCTGGCTCCAAGAGCCATTTGATTTTCATCATTTCAAAGTTTCGAGCGTCTCTCTTTAATTAAAAACCAAGACAAAAATCATTCATAGGCATTGTTTTTTTATTTCTGTTGCGAGCTGCAGAGCCATTCAATGAAATTTGATCACTGAAAGCTTCCTGAACGGGAGGTTTGTAGGTGGGGGGGGGGGGGAATTGACAATAGGGGGGAGGTGGAGACACAATAGGGGCGAGGTAAACAAAGTTGTTGTGGATAACTCTAAAATGGTAATGTGTGCCGGCGGATGCCTACTTCCGCAAAGGCCTAGTACTTAATGACGAGTCAGAAGAGCCCCAGATATGAAGGGATGATTGTCGATTTCCTACCTGTTTCAAGACCTTGGGAAATTAGCTGGCTGCAGGAAGATCAGGATTGGCACCAATTATAAATTCTTTCATCGAAAGATTGGTGGATAGAACTTGGTCCAACAGACTGTAAACAACTCTTATAAAAATTTCTTACATAGGAGCTCTCTTAAATTTAGAGTTAATAAAGTGTTTTCACTTATCATGTTTATTCGATTAAACGCCGCGGCGTTTATTAAAATTTTCGTGATTCAAGTGCGATGTTTATTCGAGGGCGGCGTTTATTTAAAATTCAATTTACTTTTTGCAAAAAATAATATGGTAACTGACCATTTTAATTGTAAAAAACAAAAACACGTTCTAGTGCTTGTCCTTAATTTCACAATCTGCGTGTTAATACTACTGCAATACTTAATGTGAAATAAAGTGAACATAGTTCACCCAATTTCAATGTCTCTGTCCTCTTCATGATCCGAATCCAAAAGATATAATGACGGATGTGCTCTCTCAAAATCAGAACCGGTACATTCAAAGGGATTTATGATTTGCTTACTCAGAACTTGCAACTGCGATAGAAGCAATAATCGTTCACTGCCACAAGGCTGTCGTTCCTTGGGGCAGTGAATCATGCCGTCCACGGGAAGGTTCAACATGCAGCTCGAGAGAGTTTTTTTTATTACCTCTGTGGGTAGCTCTGCTCAAGAAACAAGAATTCACTCCAAAATGGTACTTTTCGGGGATAATTTCAAATTTTCAGCAGCTGTTTCTTCGTGAATTCCCAAGGTACCCAACCAATCATTCTTTTTTTAGTGCAAGTGGCCTTGAACGGCTTGTCTCAAGAAACGTCCGGTGCCTGGATATACTTGGTGGACCCTTCTGGCACAATTACTTGACCGATTTTTTTTCCGACTGCAATACGTAAGCAATACCATCTTCAGTTTTGCAGTCGAAGAAGTTCCAAGCTAATAGTAATCAACCACCAACCTGTATTTCATTGCCCTAGGGCCTGTTTACATGAATGTGGGGGACCCCAGGTAGGTGAGATGACCCGCCTAACCGTGGGCTAAAAATAGCCAGCGTTTACATAAAATCTTACAACCCCGGATGCCAGGATGAAGTTTCTCGAGGTTGTTATCACACTTGCAATTAAGGAGTTTAAGATGTCACTAGGACGTGTCGTAAAAACGTTGCAGAAAAAACGTAATTAATTTTCCTCTAAGATTTTGGCCAATAGCTCGATGCGTTAACCGTTTCTGACAGTACAACGTCTTCACTTTGGCATAACGTGTGAATGTAGTGTTGAGTTAAAAGTAAAAACGTGACTAAATCTCTGTCGAGGTTTTATTGCTAAGTGGATGTAAAAATTGATGTTTTAACGTTTTAGCTCTGCATGGGAAGACCAAGAAATGTACAAAGTCTTAACACACTCGTGTTTCGCTGTTGTTTTCCTTATTTGATCCTTTGTAACATGAACGGCGCCCCGCGTGGGCGGGTTAACCGACCTTGAGACGTTTACATGGCAATGTTGCCCCCTTGCTGACAGGGTTACCCTACCCAGCAGACTGGGCAACCCGCCTAGACGGGTCGCCCCACCTATCATGTAAACGTGATCAAGATGAAATAATAGATTATATGGACAGGCGGGTTACCCAGCTAGGCGGGTTACTTCACCTACCTGGGGCTCCCCATCTCCTTGAAAACAGGCCCTCAGTAGTCATCGGTCTGCTTTTTTGAGTCTATTATTCGAATAAGAGTCGCGTAATGATTTGGCATTTATTCGGGGGCGGCGTTTATCAATATTTTTGCTTTAAAATACGGCAGTTACTCGAGGGTGTTTCATCGAATATAACGTAAACCGACATCTCCGAACTCATATAATGCTCATAAAAAATTGATCGATTCTAAAATAGAACAGGACAGTTGTAAATGCATTTTGACCCTCTCGATGAGCAGTTTGGTGTACAGTTAAACATGATTTATTTCTGTGTGATTTGTTGAGGACCGACATCTTTCAGTGTACCAATCTCAATCAGCGAAATAGACCAGTTTGTGCGCACGTATACACTATAGTACATGAAGAAGCCTAGAACTTAAGAGAAGTCAGTAATTTTCAAGAATCCGGCGACACAAGCAAAAATTCAACTTTTTTTTTATTTGCTCCAAAAGACCCTTTTGGTGAATTGTTTTCAAAAATAATATTCAAAAGTTCCAGCGAGTTTTTATTTTGGCAAAAAATACGAAAGTTCGAAATCGGCCAAAACGGACCTAATTTGCATAATTTATATCGGGCTTTCAGTGCACTTTCACAACGCTCGTACTAGACAACAAAAAATTATATTGGATTCATTTTTATCATCCCTTGGAATAGCTCTCCAACTATATTTCCTCTCCAACTAAACTTTCTTTCGTTTGTAACCACCCGCGTAAAGTACATTATATTTTGTATTCCGTTTGTACGCTGAATTTTGCCATATTTCAGACGACCATAACATCCGGGGTATACGAATGTACATAAAATAAAAGAGCTCTTTTCAACGAGCAATTCTTCATGTTTATCATGTAAAAACATTATTTTTGGCCCGTGAAAAGCGAGCGCGCCAGACCAAAATATACAGCGTGCATTTTCACGGAGTTCGGCTATTTTCTTTGCTGTATTCCTATTGCAAATCACACACTATTGGGACAAAACTCGAAGTGTTTGGTCTCTACTTCTGTTTTGATTCATTTAAATCTATCAATTTTAACTTAAAAATTACCCTACCTTTATTGTTAAGAGAACAAACCACCGTTTTAGGTAAAGGTTTTGAGTTTATTTTTCTCGAGTGCTAAATTAACAAATCGCTGTTTATAAAGATACCAACTCTGTCGACGTGTTTTTGGCTGAAATTGGCCCGTCGCTTATATTGTTCTTTAATTTATAATCTATCCCACTGGCATAATTTTAGAGCAAATTACAGGTAACTATAAATGTTGTTGTAAATACGTGAGTGTGAGCTAAATAAAATCTTCGCACACATAAAATATTCGAAACATGTAGTTGTAGCAAGAAAATACTCGCTTGTGCATGAACCTCGTGTATACATTCGGTGTTTTGCTCGGTTGCTTTTATAGATTTCTACTAATGTCACTGTAATGAAAATAGCATGTTTGTGTAGTCCAGCTGTTTAGATACATTTTCAAATTAACTCTAGGTTGGAATTCTATTTGAAAAGATTGTCGAAGAAATCTGAGAAATAACGCAACATATTCCATCTCAGACACTGATTCATGGATTACCGTAGTAGACCATTTTCTAACCCTGCTGAGGAATTATTCTCATGCAACATATAGAGAAATGCACTTATGTATATGTAGTCCATGCTTTTGAAGTAGATTATATCTGCAGATCTCAGATTCCCCAGCTAAAGGTATCCTGAATCAGTTTCCACAACGCAAATACAGTTGGTTGGTGAGGTAACCCGCCAAAGTGGGGTAAGTCACCTGTCCATATAATTTCTTTCTTTATTTTGATCACGTTTACAAGATAAGTGGGGTTCTTTTATGGACAAAATATCGAACATGGATACATTAATGTAAAATAAAATAAATCAGTTTCATCCGGAATACATCGATTTTGGATGTCATACATCGATGTTGTGCAGCATACATAGCTTTCTTGACTCATTCATGCGTGACCTTATATAACTAAAAGATGTTCAATAAAACTAAAAGATGAGAAAGCGGAAATAGAAATGACCGGAAGTCAGATTAAACAAGAAGCCCCGGAAACTGACACTTTCAAAATGGCGGAAATAGATGCAGATGATCAGTGAGGTTTGAGAAGCACTATGCAAGATGCACGGATTTGGCTGCCCAACATCGAAGGATTTTTTAAGTCTTTGGGTAGGCTACTGGAAAGTGCAGAAGGGCAAAGGAACACTGCGTCCTACGACTCGGCTGAATTTTTTAGTCGCCGTTTACGAGAAAACGAAAGAACTCTTGTCACTTTGACTCTAAGAATAGAAGAAGCCTTCCCAAATGAAGTTGAGGTGATCTCTGAGCAAAGTTTCCGCATAGCCCATACTTCATTATGCATACAGTCCCCTGTTAGAAGAACACAATAGCGCAAACAATAGATTACCTTTGGGACTATTCGCTTTGTTTTCAAGAAGTTGAATTTTTTTTAAGTCTTAATTCAAACCTTCAAAAAAACATACCATATTTTAATCTAACTTATATGTGATAGTGTAGTGGAGCAAATGTCTTCAGGGTGTCCAACAGGCACATTGATGGCAACCACAAATTAATCCAGGTAATTTAGTGTTAACAACTGGGTTGAAAACGTATATTAGCCACCGTAAAGGGTAAAAAAGCTGACGTTTCGAGCGTTAGCCCTTCGTCAGAGCGATTAGAGGAATTGTGGGTTGTGTGTGGATTTATATGTAGAAAGAGGAGCTACGCCATTGGTGGGAATATGGTGACGAGAAAACAGGAATAAATTAGTTGAATGAAAAGCGCCCGTTGATTCCGTGGGGATGAAGGGTGCCGATTTGGAATATAAATTTTTGTTCAAGTGTTTTACGGCTTTCCGAACTGCCTAGATGTAAGGAAAGGCCGCAAACTGCCATATGCTGTTTAGAATGATAAGGAAGATTAAAGTGTCTAGCGACTGGTTTGGATGCGTTCTTGTCATTTCTTTCCACATGGCGAAGGTGTTCTCGGAATCGGTCACCCAGTCGTCTTCCTGTTTCGCCGATGTAT